TAAATGTTTATGCCCTTAAAGTTGTTTCCAGTGTGAGGAGTCTGCCACTCACTGACCCTGTGAACACAGGTAAATTGATCCAAGTGCCCAGGCCTCAGTTGCCTTACCTATGAAATGGGAAGGATGCCCGTATCAGTTTGGATCTGAAATGTCCCTCAAGGCCTCACTTGCTGGAAGCTTGTTCCCCAACACAATGCAAGACTTAGGAGAATTCATTGGATCCTGAGGGCTCTCAGCAGATTAGTCCATTGACAGATTAGTCATCTGATGATATTAGTGGATGGTAGTGAGGACTGCAGGAGGTAGAGCCCAGTTGGAGGGAGTGGGTCCTTGGGAGCATGCCCTTCAGGACTAGATCTTGTCTCTGGCCCCCTCCTCTTCTCCCTCAACTTCCTGGTTGTCAGGAGGTGAGCTGCCTTCCTGTACCACACCCTCTGCCATGACATTCTGCTTCTTCCCAGGCCCAAAGCAATGGATTGACCATGAACTGGAACTGTGAGCCAACATGAATCTTTCCACCTTTAAGTAGCTTGTATCTTGCAGTTTGGTCATAGCGACCACAAACTGATGAACACAATGCCATCTGAGGGCATTTAAAAGAATAACATGAGATCCTACATGGTAGCAGTGTAACAAAGTGGTTCAGACTGTGGGCTTTTGGCAGGTATGATGGCGCACACCTGTAATCCCAGTGGCTTGGAGGGCTGAGATAGGAGGATGGCGAGTTCAAAGCCAGCCTCAGCAATGGTGAGGCGCTAAGCAACTCAGTGAGACCCTGTCTCTAAATAAAATATAAAATAGGGCTGAGGATATGGCTCAGTGGCTGAGTGCCCCCGAGTTCAATCCCCAGGACCAAAATAATAAACAAACAAAAACTGCGGGCTTTCTGGGTGCAGTGGCACATGCCTGTAATCCCATCTACTCAGGAGCGTGAGCCAGCCTGGGCAATTTGGCAAGATCTTTGTCTCAAAATAAAAATAAAAAGGGCTAGCTCAGTAGTAGAGTGTCCCTGGGTTCAATCCCCAGCATCACCACCCCCAAATAAAAGAAAGGAAAATGTCTGTGGGCTCCAGTCAGATTTCCTGAAGCTGACCTTTATTACTTTTGGATCCTTGGGCAAGTGACTATCCCCTCTCTATGCCTTGGATTCTTAATCTGTAAAATAGAAATACTACCTCATGGGATTTTTACAAGGATTAAATAACACAAAGTGCTTTGAACAGTGCTTGAAAAGAAGACAGCATTCAGTAAATGTCAGCAATCATTGGCAAGGTGCCTGACACACAGTAGTGAGGTGTTTTTGTTGTTGTTGTTTGCTTTGTTTGTACTGGAAATTGAACCAGGGATGCTTTACCATGAGATATATCCCCAGCCCTTTTAATTTGTGAGACAGGGTCTTGCTAAGACGCTGAAAGTCACCCTGAATCGCTGAGGCTGGCCTTAACTTGTGATCCTCCTATCTCAGACTCCCAAGTCACTAGGATTCCAGGCAGGCACCACTGCCTCTGGCAGCAGTGAGCAATTAACAGGGTCCATTCTTTGTAGCCCTGCTGGTCTAGAGCAGGATTTCAGATTCTGAGACCTCCCTTCTCTTAACCTCTACCCCACTCCACCCCATCCTGATTTGGCATTAAGTACTAGAAACTTCTCAAGCCATTAGTGGTTGCAGGTAATAGAGGTGTGAAGTCTATCTCAGGGGCAGTGAGAGAAAAGTTCACACTCCGAGCCAGATCCCAGGAGGCAACTGATCAGAGTCCAAATAGGAAAGGGGCTGACTGGTGAGGAGCTGAGGGAACTCTGTGCTCCAGAGTAGCTCTCTTAAGAGGTAAGAGGGAGTTCAGGGCCATTAAACCAGTGAGCAGAGCTATTGGCAGAGGGCCCTGCCACATGAGCTTGGTGGATCTAGGTAGGAAGGCTTGTAGAATATACCCCTGCTTCCACACACTAGGACCTTGGGTCTGTATCCTGTTTTAACACAGAGTACATCTTGGTTCCTGAGACATGCTGACTGGGTATTGTTTTTTGAGTTTCAGGCTGATGTGGCACTTGTGATCCTCCTGCCTCAGCCTCCCGAGTTGCTGGGATGACAGGTGTGCACCACCAAACTGGGCTTGAGTTGTTTACACTGAGGGCTTCCAGCATGCTAGCAAGCCACACCCCGCCTACCCCCACTAGCTAACATTTTGAGGAACTGCCAAACTGTATCTCAAGGTGGCTGCACCATTTCACATTCCCAGTGGCAGTGTATTAGGGTTCCAGACCTCCCATGTCCTCGCCACCATTGTATCATCTGACTTCTTTATTATAGTCACCCTAATAGGACTGAGTAGTCTCTTACTGTTGATTTAATTTGCATTTACATTTTCTTATGCTCACAAATTCTGCGGGTCAGAATATGAAGGAGCGAACAGCCGAAAGCAGCTTTATGATGTTTGAAGTCTCAACCGGAAAGACTCAAAGGCTGGAGATGACTCACCGCTGGGGTTGATTCATCTGAGAGTGTCTTTACTCATATACTTGACTTGGTGGATTTTCCTCATAACCTGTTTTGTCTTCAGCTGAGCTGTTTTCTGGAATATCTATACACAGTGCACGGTGGTCTCACTGCATGGAGTAATTTGGGTTCCCTCGCAGCAAAACTTCTGGTTCTGAGATCAAGTGTTCCAAAAGAAGCAAGGAGAAAATGTATTACTTAGTCTCAGAAATCATACATTGTCACTTATGCCAGGGTCACTCTGTCATGATCTAAATGGAAGGACATAAGCCTTACCTCTAAATGGGAGGAATGTCACCACGTTACAGGAAGAACACACAGGATGGGAGATACTGTTGTGCCTGTCTGCAAAATTAATTCTGCCAGAGCTAGGAACCTGAGCACTACTAGAAAAAAACACAATAGAGAAATCAATCAATTGTTATTCCAACTTCAGCTGACACCACCTGGAAATCCTGTATAATTTCTGTGCTCAATTTACTTCAACTTACAATGGTCATTTCAATCTTTTCTGTACCCACAAATCCTTTTTCTCTTGACAATGTCCATTGAAGAGGTTGAAAAGGGGGCTGGGGATGGAGCTCGGTGGTAAGTACTTTCTGGCATGTGCAAAGGCCCTGGGTTTAATCCCCTGTGCCACAAAAGGGGGACATAGGTTGAAAAGGCAAAATACTCATTTTCCTAGCCTCTCTTGCATCTATGTAATACAGTTTTGTTCAGTGAGAGGCAAGCAAAAATCTGCTGAGTTACTTCTGGGCAAGCCCCTGTATTGAACAAGTAAAATGACGCATGGATTAGAGGCTGCCAGCCATACTGTAACCCTCAGGGAGAAGCCAAAAAAATTGTAGAAGTATTCACCCTGATATCACTGAGTCACTGAACCAATGCAGCTATCTAACTACAGGCCTACTACCCAATGAGAAAATAAACTTATTTGTTTAAGCCAGTGATATTACTGATCAATCCAAACTTAGAAACTGCAAAGGTAAAAAGGAGTTTATTTGCAGTCTTTGGCATTCCAACTCAGGAGACACAGATTCCAAATAAGAAAGGCAAGAAAAGTGGGGCCTGAACCTGAAGCACTACAAAGTGATAAAAATTCTTTATAGAGAAAAATGCTACTGAAATTGAGAAAGAACAGGTACTGTAATGATAGCGGTTATGAGCCCAATGAAACAAGAATCCCATAACCTCTTGACATGCATCTGCAGTCTCCAGGTCAACCCAATGTAATCAGTTTCAGATGCCTGCAAAGGGTGAAGGTGGCCAAAGTTCACATCCCTAGGCAGCAGCTGGATTGTTAACTCCATCTCCCTTGATGGCTTGGGGACTCCATTTTGAAAAGCTCTTTCCCTGTTGTTTTTTTAATCATAATTTTCCTTTCATTTTTGCAAGCCAGGCTTTCTGTTACTTGTAGCTTGATAGGACCACTCTCCTCAATCCCCTGCTTCTCCCCTTTGTCTTTATTAATGTCTTCAGCTGGAAATTCTTTCCTTCCTGTTACCGGGCCTAGCTGCATGCTGTATCCTCCTTCCCTCCTAGTATGCTAGAAGAGGGGGGAGTGGGAGTGAATGGGGGAGATGCTAATCTCACCTCCATCTTGTATTCCTCTTGCGGTTTGGGTTTTCTTACTCATCCTCACGTCTGGGACTCTACCACTCATCAGCTATGTGGCCTTAAAGAGGCCACTAAAGTAGCCAATATGGGAGTAGCTTCTAAGCTGTGTGACCAATAAAGGCACCATTGCCAGAGAAAGGAAACTGGCGCAGTCCAAGGAGAAAACTACTCATAAGGCCGGGGAGTGGCGCCTTGGAGGAGCTGAGTGAGCTGCCCAGAGGGGAGGACATTTGGCAGGAGTTGGCGGGGCAGCCCTGGAGAGGTAGGCAAGGGCCGGAGCGAGCCCGGCTCTGCAGACTAGGCAGGATGATGGTTTTAGTTTTCATCCTTAAATCAGCAGGAGAGGAAGTGCACTGATCTCTCAGAGCCGTGTTTTAGAACTATCTGCTTGTCTGCCAGTCTCCCTAAGAGATGCGGAGTCCGAGGCCAGGGCGAGTGTTTTTATTCAGAGGAGTCCCCAGCGCCTAGCACGTGGCAGGCAATCACTAAACGCCTGCTGGATGAATAAATCAGACTGGAGCCCCCCGCGGAGTTCAGCTCGGATGTCAGCCTATCAGATTTTTCGCTCCCCGCATTCCTCCCCTTTTCTCGCGCTCCTTCCCTCCCACGCCTCCTTCCCACTCCTCCCCTGCCAATCCTCTCCTGCCTTCGCGCCTCCCCTGCCCGGCCCCGCCCCGCACTGCGTCGCGAAGGCGGAGGGAGCGAGGCGGGCTTTACGGCAGCCGCGTTGCGGCGGGGCGGGGCGTCGGGCGGCCGGCGCGCTTGGCGGCAGCGGTGGGAGGCAGGCCGGCAGGCAGACGGACTCGCAGGCGGGTGGCGGCGGCCGTGCTCGCTAGTGAGGGCGGGAGGGAGTGAGTCACTGAGCGTGTGTGAGGGAGGGAAGGAGCGAGCGAGCGAGCAACCCGCGCCGTCCGCCCGCAGCACCAGCCAGGCCCCGCCGCCGCCCCGCGCCCAGGCCGGGCCGAGCCGAACCGAGCTGGGTCGGGCCCGGGCCATGCTGCTCACGGTGTACTGTGTGCGGAGGGACCTCTCCGAGGTGACCTTTTCCCTCCAGGTCGACGCCGACTTCGAGCTGCACAACTTCCGCGCGCTGTGCGAGCTCGAGTCCGGCATCCCCGCCGCCGAGAGCCAGGTACGCCGGGCAGCGAGCGGGGCGGCCCCGGAGCTGGCCCTCCCGGCCTCGGGGCCTCGCGCGCTCCCCTTGCTGCTGGTGGAGGACTGGGTGGGGGGAACGCGGACGGCGGTGCCCAGTTCGCCCCCGCAGCTGGGAGGGAGCCGGAATCCGTAGCTGCCCGGTCGGCTCCGCGGCATGGGGTGGGGTGCGGGCCGGGCGAGGGAAGGGAGGACCTGGCCGCGGACGCACCAGCTGCGGCGTGAGGGGCACGTGGACTGCCGGGCAGCCTTCCCCACCTTCTGGCTCTGTGGCCTCTTCATCCTTTCTAACCCCGAGTTTGGGGTGTCGCCGTGGACCCAAGCAGAAGCCCTTGGGATTGCAAGCAGGGTTCATACAGCCTGCTTCCCCAACCAGAAATACCAGTTTGGATGACTGGTAGACTTTTCCATCTATTTTTTTAAATTTATTTGGTAGGGTGGGGTGAGGGTTCCTGCTTGAATATACGCAGTTTGCTTTTAAATGTACTGATTGGCACTTTAGGGGAGGCAGCAAAAAAAAAAAAAAAAAGTTTTTTAAGACTCACTACCTCGTTTTGAGGTCTTTGGAAATGCTTCCTCCCACTATCGCATGCGTTTTTGAGTTGAATTATTATTTTTTTTAGAAAGTAATCCTTGGTTCAACTCGGGTCATTTGTTTCTCTACTTTCTTCCTTGGTAGTAAGCCAAAGTCTCTCCTTCCAGGTTACAGCTCGGTTTGGGTCAGTTCAAAGCTCTGTGCTTTATAAGGATATTAGATTGAAAATGGCCTTGGTATCTTCTCAGTGGGATTTGGTTTCATTTCCCTATCTTGCTTCTGGAAAGGAGTTCAGCTCCTTTTACAGTTTAAAATATGCAAAGTAATTTTTTTCTCAAAATGCTTTTAGGCTACCAATAGTCTTAATCAAGCAGAATAGGTGAGAAACAGTAGGTGACAAGAACTCCTGAAGCCTTTACAGGAAAACACTTGAGATTCTGACTTGATAAAGTGGGACTTGGGGGACATATTCCAAACATTAGGAAATGCAAGTCTTCCAAGGCCCTAGAATATAAATCTTGATTTCCCACCACAGTTATGAAATAGTTCCAAAAACTGTTGCCCAACTACACAGCTTGTTCTACCCTGACTTATGGTAAACAAATGTGTCAATATTTTGTTCAGAAGTAGGATTCCTTTACACAGTGTGAACTTTAGACCCTGGTATAAACCTATTCAGAACAAATTTCTTTCAGGGCCCAAGGTGTCATTCAAATGGGCACTCTGGCAAGTGCTACAAAGAAACTGTAAGATTTTGGGTATTCCCACCCCTTTCTATAAAAAGTTAATACACAGAAACTCAGGATCCAGTTTCTGCAATGCATCTCTCATGTGAAGAACCAGGAAAGGACAGTTTAAAAAGAGGACAAGTTGGGAAAATAAATTCTTAAGTTTTTGAAGGTGGCTTTTTTTCAGTTTTTGTTCTTTTTTTTTTTTTTTAATTCTGTTTTAGTTGTTTTTTTTCTCTAGTTACATTACCCTGATTGTAACCACCAATTGTAGGGGAAGTGGAAAAAAAAAAAGGCGTAATCAATTTTGTTATTAGGTTTTGGGACAGGAGAGAGTGATTGTTGTAACTTCACTTTTGGGGGGCAGGGTGGGGAGATATAGTTCTAGGAATGAAACCCAGGATCTCACTCATGGTCAGCAAACTACTACTGAAGTATGTCTCCAGCCCACTGCACTTTTTGAGATTGCTTTAACAAAAATTTAAAAAAAGGTGTCACGTTGAAAGACAATTGTATGATCAAGGCAGACATTGTCTTCTGCCAATTTGGAAATTTAGGAATTCCTTACTAGTTGAACAATTAAGTTAACTCTAAATTCTTCCTCTCAATTTTATATTTTTTGCATTTACTTTTTTCCCAAGCCAAATTAGCATATTAGAATCCTTGGGCTCCAGCTAATGTTAAGCCTGTATTAGATAACTGTAAACAGTCCCTGTTTTTCAAGTTTGTGCTCTTGGCTCCCTTGTAACCTGACAACATAGTATCTATTTTAAGATGTCTGGTGGTGGGTTTTCTTTCACTGGCTTGCCCATCAGGCAGGAACAGGATCCACCTTAGACACTTGAGTCATTTCCTTTGGGCAAATCATAAAAGTAAACATCATTATAGTTTTCCCCACAAATCCTCTTCACTTGTTTGAATCCACCCCACAACTGCCCTTTACCTTCCAGGGTGTCTTTTCCCTTTCTAGTCTGTTTACCTGTCTCTGTTCTCTGTGTCTCTGTTTTTTTGTTTGTTTTGTTCCGGGGATTGAACCCAGGGGCACCACATGAGCCACATCTCAGCCCTTTTTATGTTTTTTTCTAAGTTGTTGAGGCTGGTTTTGGATTTGTGATCTTCTGTCTTAGCCTCCATAATCACTGAAATTACAGGCATGTGCAATCACCACCAGCCCCCATTCTCATTTCTTTGCTCGCATGCCTGACTCAGTTTTGTTCAAGGACCTTTTTTTTTTTTTTTTTGGCGGGTGTAGTATGGGAATTGAACTCAGGGACACTCAACCACTGAGCCACATCCCCAGCCCTATTTTTTGTATTTTATTAGAGACAGGATCTCACTGAGTTGCTTAGTGCCTTGCCATTGCTGAATCTGGCTTTGAACTCAATATTCTCCTGTCTCAGCCTCATGAGCCACTGGGATTGCAGACATTTGCCACCTTGCCCGACTGCTCTTTTTTTGATGTTTCTGGTCTTACCTACCACTGTGTGTTCAGACCACTATTCTCCAGACATTTTTATCCACACATCCCTAGTAGTAAAATGTTTCATAACATATTTCTTGTTATGTATAGAGTACATTATATATGTAAACTAATATTTTATGCACTGTATGTATGTATAATATCCTATATTGTATAACATGTATGCATTATTGTACGCGAATGTAATATCCTCTGTACATCAGTTGCATAATATACATGAAGTAGTATCTTATGTTGTTCAACATAACTATTCAGTTACAGAATAGAACTCAAGGAAGAATGACTTAAATGAAAATGAAAATTCTGGTATTTTTATTTTCTTTCCATATCCTTGAAGAATTGTTATGCATGCCTGCCCCACTTTGGACATCCTTGGTTTAGAATTTAGTCTTTGATATCAGCATCAATTGTGCATAAGCATACCCTTGGAAAGATGTTAATTTTTAACAGCTCTAGTCTGATTATAATAGTTACAATGGAATGATAACAAATTTAGAATAGAAACCGTTTCCACTTCTGTGTGTGATTAAAGATGGGCATGTTCCCTCTCTCAGTACAAGTGTGGGCTTAGAAACCAGTCAGGGCTCTGTGTGGTGCTTTGATGCAGAATTGGCTGGGTGAACTTCAAACAATTATCAGGATTTAGCTTCTCTTTAAATTAGTGTCTTGGTATTTTTTAAACATCATTATAATTTGCCTCTGTAGGTGGCATGTACAGAATGGAAGGACCCTCGGGCTTTTTTAAATGCCAGGTAATAGCAGTAGCTGTGATCCTGGAAGTGCTGCTCTATCCAGCATGATTGGTGATTTGTGAAACACTGTTTTAAAAAGTGGAACTGAAATTTTCTATTTAACTAGTTTGGGCATGTTTATTTTCTCAGGTAATTTTCATGTTTTTTTTTTTTCCCCCCGATATACGGTATAGGAATCTTACAGAAAAAGATAAAGAAGAACATGGTCACTTATTACCTCACAACCCAGAGAAATTACAGTTTACTTTTCCATGTATTTTCTTTCTAAGCTTTTTTACTTTTATAGTTAATGGGTGTTTTAAACATGATAGGTCCTAAACTGTAAAGTTTTTTTTTTTTTTTTGTGATGGTGCTAGAGATTGAACCCAGGGCCTTGTGCATGCAAGGCAAGCACTCTACCAGTGCTATACCCCAGTCCCTGTAAAATAATTTCTTATTTTCTTCAATCAGCACTACATTGTCAGCATTTTCCCATAACATTTCAAATTCTTTGCATTTATATATTTTCTATACTGGGGATTGAACCCCAGCCCTTTTCGATTAATAAATAAATTAATTAATTTTTAAAGATATATTATTTAGTTGTCGATGGACCTTTATTTTATTTATTTTTTCTGTGGTGCAGAGGATTGAATCCGGTGCCTCACACATATCAAGCAAGCGCTCTACCTCTGAGGCACAACCCCAGCCCCCGCTTTTTATTTTTTTGAGACAAGTTTCACTCAGTTGCTGAGAATGGTCTCAAATTTGGTGATCCTTGTTCCTCAGCCTCCAGGGTTGCTGGAATAACAGGCATGTGCCACTGGGCCAGGCCAAATTTAATTCTTAATACCTGCATAATGCACCATTATATAGGTGTAGTGTAATTTATTCAGTAGTTTTCCTGTTACTGGACTTTTGAGCTGGGGAAAATTGGAAGCAGTTATGAATAATATCCATATGCATCGGCTTTGTCCCCCATTCCTGATTATTTTCTCAGAATAAATTGATACCAAGTCTCCAGGTCAAAGGCATAAAACTTTTTGAAAGACTTTTAGTAACTTGACAAATTGCCTCCTAAGAAGGTTGTAAAAAGTCAAACTGGCTGTTAGTTGCATGAGATAGTATATGTAAATAACTTGGCATATTGTGGGCATACATAGTAGTAGTATTATGGTGCCACCAGATATAATTCTAAGATTTTGTGGCCAGTTCACGGTCCTTAGTGCTGGAAATGTATTGCTAAGATTTCTGTTAATTGGAGCTGGGGTTGTAGCTCAGTGGAAGAACACTTGCCTAGCACGTGTGAGGCACTGGGTTTGATCTTCTGTACCACATAAAAATAAATAAAGGTATTGTGCTCGTCTACAACTGAAAAACAAATTAAAAAAAAAAAAAAGATTTCTGTTAAATGAAGGCTTTAGTTCAGAGACCAGAAAATAGGTGTGGTGTGGCACATGCTTCTAATGCCATCTACTTCGGTGGTTGAGGCGATCCAAGTTTGTG